AGAGTGTCCTACAAGAGTGTCCCACAAGAGTGACGTACAAGAGTGTCGCGCATGAGTGTCCCACAAGTGTGTCCTACAGACAAGAGTTTTTCGCAAGAGTGTCCTAGGAGAGTGTTCCGCAAGAGTGTCCTACAAGAGTGTCCCACAAGAGTGTCCCACAAGAGTGTCCGACAAGAGTGTCCTACAAGAGTGTCCTACAAGTGTGTTTCGCAAGAGTGTCGCACAAGAATGCCATACAAGAGCGTCCCAAAAGAGTGACCAACAAGAGTGTGTGACAAGTGTGTTCGACAAGAGTGTCCTTCTAGAGCGTCCCACAAGTCCTACAAGACTGGTTCGCAAGAGTGTCCGACAAGAGTGTCCCACAAGAGTGACAAACAAGAGTGTCCCACAAGAGTGCCCCACAAGAGTGTCCTACAAGGGTGTTCCACAAGAGTGCCCCATACAAGGTGTCCCACAAGAGTGCGCAAGAGTGTCCCACAAAAGTGTTTCCTACAAGAGTGTCAAAAATGTTTGAGTGTTTGTTTTCGGGCACGTGTTTGCGTGCGGGTTCGTTGGTTCCATCTTCCTTTTTGAGCCATTGTATTGTTTGGTTGAGGTTGTTTGAACTCCAGTCTCGAGGTCGTTTGAATAGATCCACCCTGGTGGATTTTGTCACAAGGTGTGCTTTCCTTAGAAGAACTTTTGATGAAGCTTGCTGATATTTGCTGGATTTCCGAGTGCATGAGAAAGTCTACGGTAGGACATGGAAGATGACAATGATAGGATTTTTTCAACTCATTGGATGGCTCTCCCACAGCATCGGTTTGATCGAGCATCCAGTCTCACGCCTTTAGGCCGAGCATTTCCCGCGAAACCATTCACCCGAACAGGTCGAAAGGATGAGAGCCATGCGAATCTCCATCGTGCCACAAACCCATTCCGGCGACCACTTTGTGAAGTCGAAGTCGCCAAAATCGGCGGACGGTCAAAGTCCTGTGTCGAGTGGCTTGGAACGCAAATATGAAAAGGAAGAGCTTGGCTCCCGGTCGCTGCTACGGTCGTAAAGTTTTTGTCAAAATTTCTAAAAAAGGCCTTTACAAACCATCATCCTCCACTTGGGTGGGGGTCACTGCCTGAGAAGTCCTGTTCCAAATAGCACATATATAAATATAAAGGGTTTTCCACTTCCATAGTAAAACGGAGTGATGAAATACACTGGCCAGACAAAAGTTGTGCTTCTTGAAGCGCAAACTCATGTCAACCCTTACCCCCTAGAATCCTACATTGGGAGACCTGGGGCCATGTGGGCGGTCTTCTTTCACACCGGGACGGCTTTTACTAATACTGTATATGTTTGTATATAGACATACATGTCCCACACCTGCCACGAAAATTGGACTTGGCGATCCGCAGCTGACCCTACAGCGCTTTTTGAACCATGGTTAACACGCAAAAACTGTTGTCTTCCTGAAGGGCATCGCAGAAATAACGGCGAAAACACTGATCCGTTCAATCTCTGCTTGTTTATCTTGCACGAGTATATGGAAAACCTTTTGGTTGTTTCTCTGAGTTAACAATCACTATTCAATGACCTTTCAATGCAACACCTCTTTTGTGACGCAGGGCAGCGCAGAGCAAGAATGTGAAAAAACACGCTGATCCGTTCAACCTTTGCTTGTATATCTTGCACGAGTTTGTGGAGAACCTTTAGGTTGGTTCTTTGGGTGAACAATCACTTTCCAAGTGCCATTCAATGCACCACCGCGTTTGTGCCGCAGGGCAGTGCAGAGCGAACATGTGAAAAACACTGACCCGTTCAACCCCTGCTTGTATATCTTGCTCGAGTATGAGGAAACAAGTTTAGATTGTTTCTCTGCGTTAACAACCACTTGTCAATGACCTTTCAATGCAACACCCCTTTGTGACGCAGGGCAGCGCAGAAAAACATGTGAAACATGCTGATCCGTTCAACGTCCACTTGTATATCTTGCGCGAGTAGATGGCAAGCCCTTCGATTGTTATTTGTTAAAAGTCACTTTTCAGCTACCTTTCAATGAACACCATTCTTGTGACGCAGGGCAGCGCAGAGCAATACTGTGACAAACGCTGATCCGTTCAACCTCCACTTGTATATCTTGCACGAGTATGGCAAATCTTTAGATTGCTTTCTTTGGTTCAAAGTCACTTTTCAATGACCTTTCATTGCAACACCTCCTTTGTGTCGCAGGGAAGCGCAGAGCAAGCATGGGAAAAACAGTGATCCGTTCAACCTCTGCTTGTAAACCTTCCGCGAGTTTATGGTTGTCAACCACAGCTTTTCAATGACTTTTCAATGCAACACCGTTCTTGTGACGCAGGACAGCGCAGAGCAAACATGTGAAAGTCACTGATCCGTTCAACCTCTGCTTGTATATCTCGCACGTGTATATGGAAAACCTTTAGATTGTTTCTTTGGGTTAAACATCACTCTTCAACTACCTTGCAATGCAACACCTCTTTTGTGACACAGGGCAGCGCAGAGCAAAAATGTGAAAAAGGCTGACTTTTTCAGCCTCTGCTTGTATATCTTGCGCGGGTGCATGGAAATCCTTTAGATGGTTTCTTTGGGTTCAAAATTCACTTCTCAATTGCCTTGCAATGCAAGACCCCTCTTGTGAGGCAGCGCAGCGCAGAGCCAACATGTGAAAATCATTGATCCGTTCAACCTCTGCTTGTATATCTTGCACGAGTATATGGAAAGCCTTGAGATTGTTACTTCAGATTAAGCAGCACTTTTCAATTACTTTTCAATGCAACATCCCTTTTGTGACGCAGGGCAGCGCAGAGCAAAAATTGTGAAAAACGCTGAGCCGTTCAACCTCTGCTTGTTATCTTGCAACAGGACAGTACATGGAAAACCATTAGATTGTTTCTTCGGTTAAACATCACTTTTCAGTTTCCTTTCAATGCACCGCCGGTTTTGTGACGCAGGGCAGCGCAGAGCAAACATGTGAAACAAGCTGATCCGTTCAACCTCTGTGAAGCTCCCACAAGTATATGGAAAACCTTTAAGTTGTTTCTTTG